GCTCTATCCATCAGGCCCACCAACCAGTGCCCCCCCCACCACCCGGACCCCCCAATTTATCTGAAAAAGGGGTGTCTGGTCATGCAAAAAAGTTTATAACTCAGAAACCATAAAACTTTAGCCTGGCCCTTGCCTTCCTACGCAGCTCCGCTCAATTCTAGTTTCCCTTCTCTGCTCCGTCTGGGACTTCTCCCATTGAGATGGATTTCACTGGCAGATTTTTAGCCGGGCCAATCAGAGAAGAGAACGTCAATTTTCTGTGCAGTGTCCGCTTGTAGTTTATTTTACCTGGACCAATCAGAGAACAGAAGGCGGAGTTTTGAATGACGTCGTTTTTCTGCGCAGTGTCTGCTAGTTATTTTAGCATACAGCAGTGGAGGAAGTGAATGAAGCCAGTCTGTGTTGATAAGGCTTCAAATTAAAATAAACTTGTCWGACAAAGCAGCAGCTCTCATTTACAGTCGTCTCGTTTGGCTCGGTACTTTTCTCCTCTCAGTAGGGTTGTTTACAGCACACGCGATTTCTGGTTAGCTTCTTAGCTTAGCCTCCTTCACAGCGACAACACACACATGCTTCAGCAGAGGCCACGCCTCCTGCAAGAAACGATCCTCTATGCATCAAGTCCAGACCCTTGTACGAAGCAAAGTGAAGGACAGGGTCTGGTTTAAATCAGGCTAATTAAACGTGATAGCGTCAGAGTTTTTGGTCATTTAGCTCTGATGAAGCTCTATCCATCAGGTCAAACAATGCCCCCCTCCCCCGGGCCCCAGTTTGTCTGAAAAAGTGGTATCTGGGCATACAAAAATGGTTATTGCTCAAAAACTATTAAACATAGGAGCTTCAGATTTCTTTGGTTGTTTAGCTCTGATGAGGGGCTATCCATCAGGTCAACCCCACCCCACCCCAAAAAAAGACCCCCATCCAAACCACTACAATATTGGGATGCACATAGTAGCATGACATTTATTAGAAATAAAAACTTCTGAGTTCTGGTGCATTTGTGCATGTGGGGGTCATTATGTTACCGCTATGCGGTATCTAGTTTAAGTTCATGTTTTCGTTAGACATTTTAATCCCTATATCAAGTACTTCTATTTTTCACTCGTTCAAGCCAGTTTAAATGAGCATTGGATGAATAAATGTGTAGTTCGATGGTCATTGTTGCATAACATTTGTCCACCAGTGTATTTTTTTGCAGCTAATATAATTTTATAATGTAAATGATGCAAAGGATCAACCTTAAATTCATTCCCCGTTGCTGCTTTTGGATGGAAAGGTGCTGCACGGTGATGCAGTTTCGCCTCACTGTGTTTCATTTACAGGCCCAGCGTTCCGATCGGCTAATGTGAACGTTTACACGCACACCCCAGGGTTTTCGAAGCGACTTTCTGTTTGAAGACACTGTTTACTTATTCAATACCCAGTAATTCTGGGAATGTATTCTAGCTCGAGGCTCAAATCTTGCTCTTATTTGTCCAATGAAGCATCCGCATCCTGTCCGCCGCGCCACCACTGAAGCTCATTTGGCAGAGACACTGTGCATTATTAGTTGGTAAATAAAGTGGCGTGGTGACTCTGTGTGCATCTGTGTGTGTGAGTGAGTGTGTGTGTGTGACCTCGAGAGAGTTTGACTGGCCTTGAGTCTGAATTGTGTTTAACAGAGCTCTCCACTGCCTCTCCTCTCAGTCCGGTCCAGCCTTGTTCTAATGAAACAATAACAGCTACAGCCTGTCACCATCTGCTCTTATTACGGCTCTGTCTCTGCCATCATCTCCATCACTCTCTCCACCTACAGCTGCACTCATTTGCCTCTCATTTGGGCAATTCATGCACAAGCACACAGGTTCAGATGCAGTTTTAATGTTCTGAATACCAGCGTTGGAACAATGCAGCTTACCGGAGTGGTTTCTGTCTTTTGGAGTGGAGTTCTGTGAAAAAGGTTGTGAACAATTATCAGACATTTTGATTAGTCTCAGTTTGGTGATAGGGTCAAATCTGACCAGGCTGAGGAGCTAASAGCTAGTTAGCCTTTTAGTTGTGTTTGCATTAGGGTTGGGCAATATTGGCTAAAAATTAATCACAATTTGTATTTAGCTGATAACAAAATGATGATTAATAGATGACAATTGCACTTGCTTGTTTTTCACTCTAAAACAGTTATCCTGTGTTCGAAATTTCTACTAACAAATCATTGGTCAAACCAACGTCTTCATTTTAACAGGTTCAAATAAGAAGCTGTGAATTGAAACCCACCTTTTCCCCAATGTGGAGTGGCAGTATATGTTTAGTAACACAATATGGCACAGCCCACCTCGTATTCCTCATATTCCAGAGCTTATTTTGTCRCTTGTAAGGGACAGATTGACTGATTGCATCGTGGATTCTTGGCTGTGTAGATTTGTTTCCCTGATTCACTAAAGGAGAGTTTCCTATAACTGACGTTGCCTGCATTCTCTGTATTTTCCTCATATTTCGGTTTGTGTTTCAGGGGATTAAAAAGTTTGTAATGTTAGCATTAGCTGTTCTTCCCCACCTTCTGCCATTATGCTTGATAATGATTATGATGCACACAAAAATATCACACTACACTAATTGCAAAGTCTCAAAAATAAACTGTAGAGATGTGCGGATTGATACTGAAATATGGATACCACTGATACCAGATCTTTATGGTCTCGAATCGATACTGAAATCAAAATGTCGATACTTTGATACTTTAGTCATTTCAGATAATTTTATCATTAGCAGGAAAACAGTGGAAAAAAGCTTAACTACTGAAATCTTGTCTAAATCATATGCTGTTGGAAGGAACTACTTTTTGTTCTGCTTGGGTGATGCATAAACGCAGTGGCATGTGTTCAGTCAGTCACTCAGTCTGTAGAAGTTACAAGTAAGGCAGGTCATTTTAACATAAAATCGACTTTGTCTGACTATAATTACATTCTAGATGAGGGGTTACAATGCCAAATGCTAAACAATGCTACAAAATATGTGAAGAAACATCAACCTTTAGCATGTTTTTTTYTCTTTTATTCACTATTCAAAAATTATTACATTTGTTTAGCATACTTTTTTTTTTGATTACGCTAAACAACTATAATACGGTTAGAAAAACTATTAAATGAATGAATAAATAAAYGACACTTTTAGAGATCCAACGGGAACATTATGTGTGTTTGCACAAAGTATCAGTATCAGATCAGTGTTGCCAATGCCAGCCTGAGTTTTCAGTATCGGAAAGAAAATTGGCAATATGGAACATAGGGTTGGGCAATATTGGCAAAAAAATGAATCACGATTAATTGGGGTATTTAGCCGATAATGATTAATTTGACGATTAATCCCCTGTAGTCCTAAAAATCTGTTTCAAATTGTGTCAAAATTACAGACTTCAAGCTACACATCAAATTTTGAATTGTGTTGATAGATAAATAAATTGCAGAATTTTTTTAATGTTCATCATATTTGAAGCAGAGAGGAGCACCGAGCGGACTCTGCCTGGTGGCATTAATCGTATTAATCGTCAAGTGCCAAAAGATAATCGATTAATGTTTTTCTGACGATTAATTACAAATGATATGATTATACCCAACCCTAGGAACATCACTAATAAATTGGTGACAGTTTGTGACAAATAATTGCCCAACAATTTTACCCAATCCTAGTTTGCAAAAAAGCCATAGATTTCAGCTACCATCTGAACAGGACTGAACAGTTTGTATATTTGTAAAAAGGACCAAGAAAATACTCAAGACCGATACTATTACTAGTCTTGATAATAATATCAATATTCCATTGAATGTGTGATAGCTCAGTTATTAGTACCGCAGTCTTGTATTCCTGAAGTTGAGCCCAGGTTGCCTCAGGGAGGACCGTTGCCCGGTCTTTAATGTAAGGTCACTCTTTGTGGTGACCTCAGCAGAAGGAAGTAGCCAAAAGAAAAACACTTACAGCCCTTAAAAACACAAACATCTTCCATTTATCCAACAGCTAAGACAAAACTAATTTGAGTGTCAGCCACGTGAGCCATCTTCCAGCGTGTCCCAGTGGCACCAAAACCCCTTGAAATATGTCGTCATCTCCTTTTTTCTCTCCTTCTTTCTGACAGAATCTGTTTATTTCTCCTCTGCTCCTCGGTCCGCTAACTCAACTTCCAGCAGCGACACCTCGGCAGGCTTGCACTGCGCCTCCGGGGCCCGGGCCATAACGATAGCCATTAAACGACATGTCATTGCCACGCTGCCGGCAATGTCATTCATCCTGCGGACCTGCCTGGAACCYGCTATCGCCAGTCCTATTGTGCTGATGGTTTTACATCACATTGAGTGAGGGCTCGTACGGCTGACCGACTGATATATGGTCTCATTAGAATGTTTGATGGCCACGGTCGAGCCGGGTGATTATACCGCTGATAAACCGCGGCGAACGAGAGACTCGATAGGCTGATTGCTCATTAAGACATGTATTGATCAGAGACATTGACTTTTGGCGTGTGTGTGTGTGTGTGCATATTTGACCTGAGATGTTCACTATATGCTGCACTGGTGGGTTTCTTACAAGTGCCTGGCTTCAGCTTTTTTCCTGTTTGCTAGCCGAGGCTTTGTTGAGCAGCTAGTGGTGAGGCGGTGCAATCGGGCCAGCTGCTGTGATGCCTCTGTCGGTTGTTACAGGCAGGGAAGCAGCGTGGAGGAGGCCTTTTGAAAGCCTTGAATTGGAATTGTTTTGTATGTGCACAGCTGGTGAGCTGCTAGTCTTTGTTGGCTGTGATAGCAGCCTAAAATCAGACTGCCAGTTTGAAGAACAACTTCACATTCTCCGCCCGTGAAATTATCTGGTCRTACAGAAAAGCGTGTGTGTGTATTGAAAAGACCCCACTTTTGTGATAGTGCAGTTTAAGCACCGTTTCTGCCAGAAATGTTCTTTTTAATTTAATAATTAGATGTCTCAGAAGGTTGTTTMGTGGGAAACAGATTGATGTGTCTAAATCTGTGTTTTCTCAGCTGGTTGAGCCCCTGACTCCCAGTGGAACGGCACCAAACCAGGCTCAGCTGCGCATCCTGAAGGAGACTGAGCTGAAGAGGGTCAAGATTCTGGGTTCAGGAGCTTTTGGAACCGTCTACAAGGTCTGTTTTAATACCTGTGTTTAGAAGAGACAGTTTGTGTGTCTGTGACTGTCCCCAATAATCAAAAGTGAGGCTTCTTTTTAACAAAAGATAGTCATTATTCATGTTGTAAGCTGCCAAAAGGTAATGACGAAACAAATAAAAACCCAAACTCTGGCATTGATGCACCACAACCAGAGCACATCGGCCGTCCAAGGAACAAAATAGTGATTGTGAAGTTTTCAGCTTGAATGTGAGCTCATATTAAAGGGGCTATATCATGTAAAATCATCTTTTTTGAGTTTTATATCGTGTTGTAATGTTATCCTCTCATCAAAAACATGCCCAAAGTCTTACTTGGACTCATTCATGCATGTTTGAAAAGTCCTAAAGTGTCCTGAGGCAGCAGGAAGGGGAGCAAAAACGACAGGTTGGGACTAGAACCGCCTTTTGGGACCATCTCTGCCTCCAGGCTGTGTCTCCAAGCCGAGCTTCCTCATCACGGAGCACACTTCCCCACTCCCCACCCCACACACCCCGCCCATGACTCCTGCAGGCTCTCAGCAGCAACAAAGCAAACAACTGGTGAAACTGAAAGTGAAACTAAAACTGTCTGCTGAGTTCTTAACACTACTTCTCACTCATTGAAACCCTTTTCAGTTTCAAAATACCTTTGAGGAAATGTATTTTCAGTTGCCAAGTAAACTGCATCATAGCCCCCCCCCCCAACCCCCCTTCCGCACTGAAATGGGCGAGACAGAAGCGGAAGGTGGTTCTTAAAGACACAGAGGCCAATTTCAAAGCATTTAGAACAGGAAGTGATGCGAAGATAAGTTTACTTTCTGTTTAAACATAAAAGCAGCATTTTATTAACAGCTAAAGGTGACATAGATACTTTATTATGGTATTGTATTTAAATATATGCCTGAGAAACACATAATATTGCCCTTTTAAGAGATTTTTTAAGTTTTACCCTGTGAGGAAAAATAAACTGAGACAATTGTTGTCTAACTGGCAGTAGCTCGAAAACCAGCTCCAGTTTAAACAGAAACAACCAAAAGGTTTTGCCTTGGCATACAAAGTGAAAGCCCTGATTGGCGGCTGCGTCGGATAAAACAAAAAATATCAGTAATTTTTCTGTACCAAATGCACAAATCTTGAGTTCTTGGTAAGTATGSGTTTGGATAAGCACATTTGTTAATATGGAAACAAATGGTCTTGCATTGTGATACTCAAACCAATTTTAGTTCATTATTTTGATTCAAAAGTTGCTTAACAAAAAATAAATAGAAAATAAAATGTAAAGAAAATTTGTTACTTTATGAATTTAATAGAAAATATTTTCTTGCATCAGACCAAATGTAGATTTACACCAAATAACAGCTACAAACATTATGTTGTAGAAAAACACACAAACCAAGTATCTGAAGTAAGGCTGTGCTCTGAGGGATAAATGAAGACAAACTGTCCGGTCACCTTAACTGCAATCCTGGACTGTCAGCTCCTTTACCAGCTGTGCTTTTCAGCCAAAAAAAAAACTGAGTGGATTTAAAAGTAGTCAAACATTTCAGAAACTGACAGCATATAAAGTTCTGAGACGTATTGAGTCTTCTCTGACCAGACAAAGGTGGGAATGCTCCCTGCTGAGGGGTGATTTCCTGCCTCAAGCTAAGGAAGTCTCTAGGAGTCTTGTTCTTGAGTGATGGAAGGAAGAAGTGGGAAACGGATCAAGAGATCATGGCCTTGTCTGCAGCATTGACAGTGTTGCTCTGGCCTGTTGTGGTGATGAAGCTGTACCAAAATTCAAAGCTTATAGGGGTTTGAAAACAAGATAACTATAGAGACAAAGTCACCAAACTGACAATAGTGTTACGCAATCCGCCACATCTCTCATATATATGTCAAGTCAGACAGTTGTGTGCTGTGTTAATCATGCATTGAAGCTGTCAAATAATTATACATTATGGGATTTTCTGTATTATTGATTGTACAGAAGGTAAAATTATCATACGTATACAATGATTATTGTATGTCTGGCCAAGCTAGCTGGGATTAAAAGATTGGAAACAAGTACACATCTTACTTTGAACTGGAACTGTAGTTGGACTCCAGATGATATTTTACAAGTATGCAAGCACACAAGTACAGACAAGTACACTCTTTGTGAAATGGCCATCATATGAACTTACTTGTCATTTCCTTTATTGCTGGTTTAGCCTATAGAATCAGCAGTGTTGTGCACTGAATGCATTAGGGAGAGGTTATAAAACTTTTACAAACTATGCTGACCTACTGGCAGGTATATAAATTAGTTTTTTTTATTCAATAAATTATTAGAATAAACCTTTGCTATTGAATGCAGAAAAATTTATTATAAAACTAAAATATTTAGTCCAGTTTATGTTATTGTCATTTTATTACATATTTTTTTCTCTTTTTGAAACAATGTAAAACCTGATAGAAAAGACAGAAACTATAAAATTGGAAAAAGAAAATTTGTGTAAATACAATCAACTACAAACTATTTGTTTTGGTATGTTTTGCATTGTGTCATCAGCTTATATATGGCCGTGCAAAAGGTGTTTATTAAAGGCTTGCCCACAACGGCTCTCGAAGGGTCAGAAAAGTAAAAATTGTGCTTTTAAATGAAATAAATGACTTTTAAAATATATAAGACCAGGCTTTATTGTTGTTTAAGAGATTTGAATGTTTTCTAGCACCAAAATTAGATGTAAAATGTCTGTTTAATTAGTGAAAAACCTTGGATAGGTAAAACAAAAAATACTATATAATCAATTAACTGGCTTATTTYAATAATAAGGTACTATGCATTCCAAGATACTTGGACAACAAAAAAACATAATGAATTTAATTCATGTGGATTTCWTTTAGAACTGGCTTTGTTCTTTGTCATTTCTGTGCAATAAAACTCCAGATCTATATTGGTCTATATAAAAATATTAAGTATGTTTCTGTCCCATATTTATATGGCATTAAGGGGAGTACAGGCACTTATGTTTTACACTTAAAGCACTCTTTTATGTGGATGTGTCTTTCTTTCTTTTTAACTAAATGCTGTTTATTTAACATGCGTCAATTAAATTAGGTCAAATAATTGTAAGGAAGGTAGTTCAACTTGTTTATTTTTTTTCCCATGATGAACAAGCTGTGACCGTCTAGCTTCAGTCAAAAGCATGAACTCCAGTTCAGATAGTTTGGCCCTGCGGAGCAGAAGCCATTAAACCAAACTACCACTAATCAGAAACATCAGGGTCATGGCTGTGTGTGTTCGGGCATGTTTATTAGGACCTAAAGCTGTGCATTTACGGCGTCTGCTTGTATTTTTCCAGGGCATCTGGGTCCCAGAAGGTGAGACAGTGAAGATCCCCGTTGCAATAAAAATCCTCAACGAGACCACCGGCCCGAAAGCCAATGTGGAGTTCATGGATGTGAGTATTTATGATGCTGGCGATTTGTGTCTATTTGTATTCACACCTTCCATGTCGAAGCTGTTAAGTCTTAGCACTGTCAAAGAGAYGGCCAAGGTTGTCTTTTTTGTGGGATTGTGCATTTGGCAGTAAATTCTTATGAGAGTACCATCAGAGTCGGGGCTGGTAATAAAGAGAATATCAGTGCACTGTACARCAGTGCATGTATTGAACAAGGCACTATTAAAAAACAGAACAGCAGTAGTTTGAGATATGGCTTTATTGAAATCCAGGACTGATATGAAGAATGGAAGCCACCTTATCTGTCAGTTTTTTTTTCCTTCCTACTTTTCTAACTTCCCTTCAATAACTCACATTAGATTTCAAGACTATGGCCGTTTTTCTTATTAAATGATTTTACAGAGTGATAGTAGTGCCTGACAACCCTTTCACATTACAACCCTGTAAAATGAAATGATGTTTTTTTTTTTTTACAAAAGCAATAATTAAATGCTTAATATTCCTTAAAGGAAAGCATATTTTCCAGGTTTTACCAAAGTGTCATTATGAGAAGAAATGGTGTTCTAATGTGAAACCTTGAAAATAACCCTTTATATAATCTCATCGTGGTATCATGGTTAGTGCTCAATGCCTCTGCAGTATTGCAGACTCTGTGCTGGTTTGTTGTCTGTTCCCCAGTCAGTCTATGTTGCTACATTCACCTACGGTCATGAAATCTGSGCAGTGRCCAAAAGAACTAGATTGCRGATACACCTGGTCAAAATTATTTTTCTGAGGAAGGGTAACTGGACTCTCCCTGATACTACATTCACACCAAACGCGTTGCGCGCCTCCAAAAATCTCAAAACGCACACATCCTGATGCTGGTGTCCAGTGAGGACAGATGCATTCGATGTGAAYGTAGACRYGCTTCTTTAGATGCACAATAAGAGGAGACTTTTAACCGTAGTTTTGATAACTTACCAAACATGCCGACTTACTCACTAGTCATCCTCCAGGCAAAGTCCTTTTTATTTCTATCATAATAACGGACACTGGAATGATCATAAATGATCGGACTATCAGTTTGTCTTCCAATGTTTGTGTGATCCGATTTCCCGGGCTTCTGGTATTTCCAGCTTGTCACCAGTTCGTCACTGAGCAGAGTCTCTCTGATTGGTTGATGCGATATGTCGAGCAGCAAAAGTTCAGATTTTCCAACTCGAGCGTTGGATGCTTTGGATGTGCCGCACCCACAAAAAATGCTCATGACGTGTGCACCGCTTCGAACCGCGCTGCTCCAAATACGCCAGACGCGCTGCTCAGCTTCTAGAAGCCCCTAGATGTGTGTCCACCATTGACTTTGCATGTAAACCAGATGCTCCTGATACTCAAAATGTGTTTGGTGTAAATGTAGCATTAGAGAAAGTGTGAGAATTTTGGTTATCCGGGAGATATTCAAAAGCCAGTTCTAAGTAGCTGCACCTCCAGATCGAGAGGAGCCAATTGAGAAGTTTTGGCCAACTGGTAAGGATGCCTCCTGGACGCCTCCCTAGAGAAGTGTTCCTGGCATGTCTGACTGGGAGGAGACCCCAGGGAAGAGCCAGGTCACGATGGAGACATTTTCAACGTTTTTGCATTGTAAAGCTCGACTCAGCCTTCCCAAGCTCCAGACGGCCTGGCCTTACTCTACCTGGCTCTGGTTGTGTTTGCATTGAACAGAGTACTGCCTAAATGTGGGCGGGATCATAATATTTAACATGCATGAATCATTGCATGCTTGTTAAATATTAAATATAATATTAAATTAATATTTCATTTTATTTGTGGCACAACAATAATGGGCAACACCAAGTTCAAAGAAAAGTATTGAAGATAGAACTGGATGATCCAGCAGTAAACAAGAGGGTAGGAGGGCAGAGAGAATGGAAAGCTAATGCTAGCTTGTTGCTTGGTAGCTTGCTACTGTTGTAGTTGAACTTGTGTGAAAAAAAAACAATCACTGCAAATAATTAGTGTAAAGTCACTCTCATCTCACAGGCCTGGGGTTCCAGAGAATCTGGATGGAACTGGTCCATAAGGGCTAAACACTCTGAGCACAGGTTTGATGCCAGGCTTGACCGGGCCAGGCTTTGCAGTGCAAAAGGACTTTACGTCTCTCAACTGGCGGGTGAGCACCTTGTAGAGAGATGTCTAGACTTCTGCTGTCTTGTAATCCTGAGGCTGCAGGTCACCATCTCTTAAAAGAAGCAATCCGTGATCTCAGTGGAGATTTACCTGGTTAAATTCAAGGTCAATAATTTTAAAATAACATAATTTATTAACTATGTTTTAGCACATTGCTGCAGACCCAGCTGCACCCGAACTTCAACTACTTTATTTACAGGCAACTCTGGTTAACTCTGAGTGGCTGTCATAGCTAACCTTACTGAACAAAAATAGTTATGTTTCAGTCAATTTAACATAGTTTGATAAAACTTGATGTGGCAGAGTCATTCCCCAACATCGTATTCTTGGGGGTTAACATGGGAACTTTGTTATAAGTGTAAGATGGCAGATGATTGGCATTCCTTTAAGAAAAGCTACCGTATTTATTCGTGTATAATACGTAAAATTTAATCCATCAAATCATCCATAAAGTTGGGGGTATATTTTTGCTAATGTGTTTTAACTGAAATATCGGCAAAATTATTGAGTCCAGAAATGAGACCGCGTTGTAAAAAGCAGGTGAAAGGAGCTCACCTGTGACACTCCTCCGTGCTCCAGAGCGAGATAATAACAGGTCCAAGCAGGCGACATGATGTGAAAAAAAGGGGGAGAAGTCCTGCAGCTCAGTAATGATAATAAACTAATGACATTAGCGTGTGACCGAGCTGCTGCTGGAACAACAACAAACACATGTCCTTCTGTAATGATTGCTGTCTACCGGTGTTCTAAAAAAGTTTGTATTCCTGGATAATTTTGATCTCTTCTGGGAGAGAAAACATCTCTTCAAGTCTGATGAAACGGCTTTGAACCGACATGGATCAGAGCTGTTAGCTTCAAACATGAAGTATTTCCTGAACCAAGTTCCGGCTGGAACCAAACRACAGGAGAGTGATCAGCTGACGTCTGAGGCTGAAGGACAACAGGTGCAAACTGAGACGCCAATGGAAAACAACATGCAAGTGGCTGAACCAGAAC